TCTAGTTAATTTATTATGCGTATAATCACCTTCATTCCCTGTAAAGCAGCTTTTTTATTTTAACTTTGATACCACTGCAGAAGATGATAAGTTCGTCAGTGTGATATGCAATCAGAGCGACTGAGAAGGTGCTTGCAAGGGTTTTAATAAATACACTCAAACTTTACATAGTCCTATCCTAACCTTAGTATATTAGTATTCATTATTTGCCATGATTGGCATTAAAATATGTTCACAGTTACTTTTTTTCTATTTCATAGCTTAATACAGTTGAACTATCAATAGTGTTCTCATAAGACGCTCTTCAGTCCACTATTTTATTAAATAAAAGTCTTCACGAATCGTTGTGATGCCGAAAGATTATTCCCTTGAATATTGATCCTATAATTTCACTTGTTATTAATTTATTTTTGAGTTCCCCAATAATTTCAACCATTTGTATCAATATCACGTTTTGCTTTTGAATTCCCCGCGTCACTCTACTGGTTCTGCTCATCTCACTATTTAATATAAATTTGCCATACTTTTACGGTGATTAAGGTATTATTTTTTTTAATTTCATAAGTGTCTTACTATTTCTTATTCAATTTTTATTTTTCATTTTTACTGGTTAATATCTTTTATCGAGGATATAAGGACCAAGATGGTATGACCATTAGTAGGGTCGCGGTCTCCTTTCGTTGTATAGAAGTTATTTGGCCTTATTTTCGCAACTTGGCCATATTGACAAGAAGGCTTAAAGGAACATACTTTGTGTGGAGTCCATAGTATGCATGATAATTTTCAGAGTCTGACCATGGACTTGGTACATTGACAAACGTTTTGCCGGCATCGTCACTGAGCCTTGCCATCCTTATCACCGCACCGCAACTCGTCAGAGAGACAAGGTTTAGATAAGCAAGTAAGAAATTGTGATAATGAAGGTTTGTTGCGAGGGTATAGGATAGGTGGATGCACCAGGATATAATGAGCGATTTCACAACCTTTTAGCAGACAATCGGTCAAAGGTTCTACTTCATCTGTCTCTGATGGACTGTAGTGTGGTGCTAACAATGGCAAGGCCCACTAACGATGCCGGCGAAACTTCTGGGATTGTACCAAGTCCATGCTCAGACAGGAAATTATCATACATACTATGGGCTCCGAACTAGGTGCATTCTACTAGGATTCCTGTCAATATGACCAAGTTGAGCTAACACCTTTAATGTTCCGAAAATATATACGGATTCGAGAAAATGCTCTCAATTGATCTTGCCACGATCATCTGATCTATGAAACTTATCTAAAATGAAAACTCATTTTTACGATAGTTGGAACTAGGACTTTTAGACATACGATTGCCTTGAATGCATTACCAACAAATGTACAATCTTTCCTAAGCATCAATTATCGCATTTTCAGCCTTAACTTCTGAATCAGATT